ACACACACACACACACACACACACACACACACACAGAAAAAAAAAAACCCACACATAATCTTGCTGCAGTTGCATGTATTGAGTACTAACTAGGTGCTAAAAGCGTGTGAATCACATGCTTAGCAGATCTGATTCTCTGTGGGAACTGCTGGGATACCCATTGGAGATAAGGATACTGAGACATAGACCTTGTGAGGTAAGCTCACACGGCTAAAATGTGGTAGTTCGGGATTCGCGTCAGGCAGTTTGACTGCAGAACACAGGTCTGGAACATCTGATTACTAGAAGGTACAGGGAGATGATGGAGGATGGATGGGTGGGATGGAGGGAGAAAGGAGGGAAAGACGAAGAGAAGAGTGGATGGCAACAAATTTTAGAAGTAAAATCTAGTAGAGACTCCTCCTAAGGGTGGGCTGTTTCCTTTTGCTGTGGCATTTTCCTGGTCTTGCTTTTAAGTCAGCCATTCCATGGACTTCAGGAAATTTCAGTCTTGGCCCACCTGCAGAGCTTTCTCCACAGCATTTGGTTCCATGGATAATACGTGATTTGTTTTCCCTTGCTTGTTTTATCTCCCTTTCTCTCTGTGCTCACATAGTCTTTGGGACTTGAGTACACTTGCCCCAGTTGCTGAGGGATCTGTGACGTGCCTCATCACTGACTGGAGAATATTCTGGCAGAAACGTGTCTCTCTTTGGGGAGTCTGTGCTCAGGAGCTAATGCGAAGCTCCTCTCTGCTTCATTCACTTTGGGCTGCCTTGCTCCCTGCCTCTGCTTTCATAGCATATCATTTCCCCCACCTTGTACAGCTAAGGTACAAGGATATTTCATCTTATGCTCTCTGGAGGCCCTTCGGAGGCTGGGAGTCCAGCACAGTAATCAAGAAGGGGTGGGTGTGATCAGGGATGAGGCTGGATTCTTTGCCTCTCCACCTTTAGGCTTTTCATTTTCACATTCCCCTCCATGGCTTGTAATAAACCTGAGAACATAGCTCAAGGGCACGACTGAGGTTTAACTTCAGTGGAGGTACAATAGAGGCTATTTGGAAAGTAAAACTTTCAAATGGCAGTTTAGCCTTGAAGAATATATTGAATTAGCTATGCGGTGAGCCTTGATTCACGATCTCTGCATAATAGCATTGCTATGTGTGCTTTAGTAGACTAGAGAAATGAACTGTTTAAAAGATGGAGTTCACAGACTCCGTACAAGGGCTGGTGACAGAACGCGGGGGCCAGAGCCAGGCAACCTCACTTCCTTTTCAGACTCTACCACTTTCTGTGGGGCCCTGACCTCTCTGATCATTGACTTTTGCATCTGTAAAATAGAGATGGTAGTAGAACTTGGGTCTCAGGATTTTTAAAGGTATTGAGTGAGATAATTAATGCCAAGCACGGGGGCTTTGCTTATTGTATTGGGTCATCGGAAAAGTCCTGATGTATCTTTCTATGCAAAAATGCATCGTGATTTTTCTAACAACCCAACATTTAGTAAAAGCTTAATAGATGAGAATTGTTTATATTACTATCACATGATCATTTTTCAAAGCTCTGATGCTGTAATTAAGCCCACAGTAATTCTTATGTTCACTCACGGGCTCTTCACTTATACAGTTCTCTATTAGCCAATTCTTAGTTCTTGTCAGTTTTGGAGTCTCAAATGGTCACCTTTTAAGACGCACTGTCACTTCAAAGCGCTGGTTAAATACAACCAAGACTGACAACTATGAATAATTCCACAGAGCTTCTAAAACACTCTGGCATTTCACTCAAACTCTCACATGTGCCACTGGGTGGTTCTCTCCTGTTTTGGGCCTCTCTATTCTCAGCAGATTTCAGATATAGTTACTGAAGGTGAACATCATCCTCCTCTGAAAAATAATCCAGCAGGAACCCACTGAAGTAATTGGACTTCACTGGAGCATCACTGTCAAGTCTAAAAATATATGGAGAGATAATCACATCTTATTTTTTCTTTCTTGTACCTTTTCAGCATGTTCACATTCATGTTCTTCCAAGGAAGGCTGGAGACTTCCGCAGGAATGACAGCATCTATGATGAGGTGGGTCTGTTCTTTCTGATCTTATTGTTTGATCACAGAAGCTGTCAGTGTGATAAACTCAACCTAATGAACCAGGTATCACCCTAGATATGGTCTTAGATGAGATTCTACCCAATATGACTTGAAAAGTGGCAGTTGAAGCCAATGAGTCAAAAATAGCCATCATAGGAACCCAAGATAAATTAAGTATAATGATTTTCTTTTTGCAAAACAACCTCAGCAAAAACCAAGTGTCCTTGTGACTTCTATCCTGTTATTTAACAGGACACTAAATATTTGTGTGGAGATATGGTCCAGAGTCTCCATAGGGAAAAAAAAAATCTATACCAGTGGAAATCAAGCAGATTGATGTATAATTCTTTTAGTCAAATATTGTGTCTAATTTTTAAAACACTTTGGAACTCAGTTTGTCTGGTATTATCCTAAGCAGAAACCAGGATGGTTTTGATGATTTGAGTATTAACCCATGTATCATAAGCATTCTAGCAACTAACTGAGTTTTGGAGGCTCCCATTCAAAAATACAAATGTGAAATCACTACAGATGTGAATTTGTCAGAACCAGCTGATCTGTTCCTAGGGTCTTGTTTATCTGGGAACGTCTAGGTGTCCATCTGTATCATGGGGAACATATAGCCTAGATGGATCAGGCCGGTATAAAATAGTAAGGCGATTTTGATTTATCTACTTATTTTAGCCAAGAAAGTGAAAATATGTTCTCTACATGTTAGAGCTGATGAAAAGACACTGGTGCTTTGGAGGACTTGGTTGAGAAAGACTTTGAGTTCTGTGGTTGATTAGCAATGTCTGCCATGGGTGTCAACCAGGAGGGAGGTTCTCTGTTAGCCATCTTTGCGAAACTCTTGTTTTAACCATTTGAGAATGATTTTTTAAAAGCAGTTTTTCTTTTGGTTGTTTATCATATGACTCTATCAAGTAAACCCATGTGATCATCTTATCTGGTGTCCAGGTATCAGATAAAATATATGTATCTTTTTGGTGTTTATGGACTTTCTTTACAGTAACTGAACATTGAAATGACTACCAAATTCCAAAAATAAGGTACAAGAGGTTAGCAGTTAATTATGAAGTTATAATAAACTTTTCTGGGACTTACTGGATCATTTGAGGTGACTGGTTATCATGCTATTAGGATATCTCCTATTATCTTGTGCTTCCTGTGTTTTTCAAGTATGACGGTAGGCCTGTGTTGGTAGAAATACCAGTCACTGATTTCTAGACCAATCATTGAAAATTTTTATTCCTAGGAGGTCTGATTCCTAGAGCTTCTGATCTAGTAGATTAAAGAGCACTCAGGAAAACAGTAGTTATGAAAGTACAAGAAAATCCCCAAGTGATTCTGGGATATACCTAGACATGAAAACAGACTCTGCTGAATTTAGGCTTTTTTTTTTTTTCTTTTTTTCGGAGAGGTTTTTGCTATAGGGCGCGTGTGCTCACCAGACAGACAGAGAGAGACAGAGAGACAGAAAGCAAGAAATCACCCCCAAGGGAGGATGGCCACGCTGCAATCCCTTCTCCTCCATTTTCCTCTAGGGATCTTGGGCATGAACGCACACACACCCGGTGTGAGTTTAAGCCACCAGGTCCAGGATTTGAACCGTGGTCCACTACATCGGAGTCCAGCAACATAACCATTACACTAACTGCTGGTCCCAAATTTAGGCTTTTCATAATACTGTAATTTGAACTCATTTTCGTTGAACATCCAGTGCAATTTGGGTTTTGGTAAGAACTTAATCCACGTTGGAAGAAAATCAGAATTATGTAGTAATTATAAAGAGATGCATTTTAAAAATTCAAGCACTGGTCTTATTAACATAAACTAAGGTTAATAAAATGTTGCCAAGTGCAGGTTAGTTTAATGAATACATTAGCACATGATTTATATACAACTGAATATGGCTAAAGTGGTATTAAAAGTGCTTGGAAACATTGTTTTCTCAGGCTGAACAGTCACCTTCAAATTTTGTTTGCATTCCCAATATGCTTGTGTCTGAAGCTGCATGGATACATGTCAGCTCAGTCTCGGACATGCGATGTCCTACCCTGTGGCTGGGATGTGGCCTTTATCTCTTTCCTTTGGCTCATGTGTGCATGCTCTGGAGGCATCTCTAGTCCCACAGATAAGGTACCACATGTTTCTACTTCCCTAGCTGGAGAACCATTTTAGAAGATGTAATTAAAATAAGTATTCATTTATTGTTCGATTAATGAGTAAGTCATTTGTAGTATAGATGGTATTCACGAAGGAAGATTATGGTACAAGACTAAGAAGAGATTAAACTCCAGAAACAGGCAGAATTAGGTTCAAATCCCAGTGCCACCCACTAAGTGTGCAACATTGGATAAGTTCCTTAACCTCTATGTTTTAATTCTCTTATCTTTAAAATGGAGATGGTGGTACGAACCACTCCAAAAGATTGGCATGTGTATTATATGGCATACTACAGCAGAAAAACTGATTTCGGGGCTTGCTGCATATTAAGAATGTAGTGACAGGTAGCTATTTCTGTTTTTACTATTATCATTAGTAATTTTGCTTTTAGCAACAGTAGGTAAGTGGAGAACCCGGATGCAATGCCAGATCACTAGATGTTCCTCTCTAGCACTCTTTCTAAGGGAAATTTCCAGCTTTTCCTCTGCCTTTAACCACTCATTCCCAGTTTCATCTTCTCTGTATAAAAATGCTTTTCCAATTTGAGTATATAATAAGATAATGTCTAGAAAGCTGCATGAGAAGCCTGAAGCATTATACAGGCAATAATTGATACAAGACATGAGGTACATTAGGCTGAGTAATCTTAATCAGAGGTGATGGAGTGATGAGGGATGGCATCCTTTATAGTGATGGGAAACACTCACCCTGGACTGTGCCTCTGTTCTCGACATACAACAAGCAGACTACCTCGGAGGGTGGAGGTGGGAAGCAGGAACAGCAGAAGCCTGAGCTCGATAAAATATTGTCTTCCTACTAATGCAAGCATAAAACATGATGTCAAAAGAAGTACTAGATGATAAGTCAGCCGGGAACATTGTGTTCTCTCTGGGCTCTGTTTTGAGAAGGATAGTGACAAACTGGAGAAAGCTCACAGAAAGTTGTTTAAGGATCATGGGGTGTAGAAACGATGATATGGGGGACAGTTGGTGAGGGAGCCGCTTTGTCGGGAAAAGAGATGAACCATAGACAGAGGGTGGTGCTAAATCTCTAACGAGCTAGCAGGTGAAGAAGGTATCATATTTGTCCTAGTTAAGGTGGGAAATGCCTGCTCTGAAGGGCAAATCTGAGACTATCAGGCAATAAGTAGGTAGAGATCAGGTCCACATAACAACAGGTCACGGGGAGAGAAATTTCTGGATACTTAGGGCCCCTCTCAAGGAGATGTGCTTCCCATCCCTGAATCAATCAAGCCGAGAGTGGATGGCCACGATTCTTCAGGAAGATGTCTACATTCAGTCATTGCATGGATCACAAGGCCTGTAATTCCTGCCTTTACAAATCTGGCCCTTTTGCTCATTATCCCCATTTTTTAGGTTACGCTAGTTCTGAAACAAAGTGTTTGTTGTAGTAGTTATTAGTATTACAGGATTTTTGTTACTGCTTAATAAAACATATCCCTTTTTTTGTTTGGCTCATGAAAATAAAAGCTACAACTTTCTTAACTTATGCAAGACCACATTCTATGGATTTTTCTCATTTTCAACCTACTTCCTGCTTCTCCTCCAGCTCAAAATTGCATATTGATGGTCCATGGGATTTTCTTGCGTCTTCCAATGTGTTTTATTTTTGCCTGCACAGTATTTTCTTTATGCTTGCTTATTTATTGCTTCCATGGAAAGGAAAGGCATCCTCAGTAGAGCATCAGGCCCAGATCCTCCGTGCAGACTTCCCATCTCATCAGAGTTGCAGGTATGCACCAGCATGCCTGGGTTGACCCTAAACTGAATCCTGATCTTCCATGTGGATCCAGCACCACGGAATGACATGCTACCTCTCCCACCATTGTGACTGGCCTTGCCTGTAAATAATTTTTTAATGATGTGCTTAATTTTGTCGATCACATGAATGCTGAATGCTGTTAATCATGTGGCATTCCCTACGTCACTACAGACAGTCTGCCTCTTACCTAGGGTCGCTTTACTTGTTTATAACACCTGCCTGTCCCCTTGAGATATCTGAGCTGAGATCCCTGTCTATTCCATAGACCACTCCTATTCTCTCCACTACTGAAATATTACCAGGAACCTCTAGTCCACCATGCAAGTGGACAGTGTAATCTGTAAACTCTATTTTACCTTCTTGCTTACTCATTTCCAGTGCTATGACCCCAGGCAAGTTCTTTCACTTCATTTTTTTGTTTTTCTTTTCTTTTCTTCTTTTTTTTTTTTTTTTGGAGAAGTTTTTGCTATAGGGCATGCGTGCTCGCCAGAAAGACAGAGAGAGACAGAGAGAGAGAAAGCAAGAAATCCCCCCCCCCAGGGGGAATGGCCATGCTGCAATCCCTTCTCCTCCATTCTCCTCTTGAGATCTTGGGCAAGCACACACATGTGCCCTGTGTGGGTTTAAGCCACTAGGTTCGGGGCTCAAACTATGGTCAACAACATGGGAATCCAGCGACATAGCCATTACACCAATTGCTGGTCCCCAGTTCTTTCACTTCAATGGTAGAGCTTTCTCACCTCCTCATCTCATGAAAGTCTTATTGTCTCTCACTGCTAGTATTCATCAAATACATTGTTCTTGTTTCCACCTCAGGGCGTTTGCATATGTTGTTCTCTCTGTCTCTAATTTCTGCCATCTTCTCTACTGTTTTGTGTGACCTTATGTCTTCATCCAAATCTCAACTCAAAGTCACCTACTCAGAGACCTTTTCACTGTTTTCTTGTCCAATCTAAAATAGGTAGTCTTCTCTCTTTACCCCTGCCTTAGTATTCTATTATATTACTATGTCTATTTCCTTCTTAATACTTACCACACTG